TATACGTACTGAAGTCCTTCTAAAGATTACTTAACTTTAGAGATTTAACAGAATCAGAAGACAAATAATATCGAGAGCTGATGTGAAATTAGCTCTTATGTTGTGGGGTGAGGTGATTGTCCAAGTGAATCTCATTTGAACTTCTTAAAGAGTCCTCAGATCAAACAGGTTAATGTAAGACATGCTCGGAGCTTCAAACCAACATTTGGAGAGTTCTAGATCTTTTAGTCCAGCTCTAGTGAAAATGGGATTTAGTAAGTTAAATCAGGGTTGCAGTTAAAATCTTACATCCCATGTCTCCTCCTTGATCTTCTGTACCTGCATTGATGTAGGGAAGTTCCTGATGCATTGTGATTTTAGAATACATCATAATTTTTCCATGTGCACTTGTCTCCAGTGTCATAGCTGCTCTGAGCTATTTGGCTTGCTTTATGGGATCCAAATTCACTTTACCCAGACAATGATTGGCATTTAATAGTTCCCTGATGAATCTCTTCTGTGAGAAGTAGTTGCAAGTGATGGAATTTGGAGCCAAGAGCTGTGTCATACCTTCCCCCCCTGCTGTGCACTTAATTTTTAAACCTCTTAACTTCTGTCAGCTGCACCACTTTACTACATTTTTAGCATTCTAGTTTTCTCTGACTTTCTTAACCATAGTGATTCAGGGTTTGTAGCATTAAGAGTTTGGACCATCTGCTCTCCATCCTTGCGCTGTAAGGACAAAATAGCCAAGCCATGAGTGTGCTTAGCTGGATTTGTTTAGCTACATTTACTACAGCAAAATTTGTTCTTCATGCAACGGAGTAAACAATTTAAAATACAAACAATTTAAAATGAAATCCAATTCAGTATTATCCTTCATTCGTCGTGCTTACAAAAAGTCTTTTTTTGTGTTTGGCAGAACAGAATACTCACAGAGTAATCATTTTTATTTCCATCCCATCGGTAAAATTTCTACCAAATCATGGTAAATATGACCCCGTCTCAGAGGACGGTATAAGTACTGCAAGAAGATAATTGCATCCAGGGAATGTCTTCACAAGTTTTCCTTGAAATCTGAAAGGAGTTTTCAGTTTAAATCTGGCTGGACCATCCCAAAGTGGCTTACTCCTTCGCGTAACGTTACTTCAGTTTCCTAAAGGGAAAAATGGAATACCTGGCAAATAAATCAATTAGCTGGTTGAGGAAGGAGCAGTATATACAAATCCTTGTCCGGGATGCAATAAGGACTCCTGCCTTGGGCTGGGGGCTGGACTAGAAGATCTCCAAGGTCCCTTCCAGGATTCTATGATTCTTTACAAACCACCTGGACTTTTTTTTTTGCTGATCTTCCACAAGGAGAAGATCTTCATTCTCCTTTTGTTTGCAAATCTCGCTAAAGGTCTGATAGTCTTCTTTGTGCGATCAGCCTATTTCCCTCTTGGTTTGGTTACTAATTATGATGGGTGTATTCATAACACTAATTCTGTAGAATTACAGGGTTTAAAGCAGCCTAATGCAAACTCTGTTCGGTGCGGAAAATCTACTGTGACAGGGTCTCTGAGAGGTGGTCATTTTGGTCACCCTGTGAAGCTTTGCCGCGTTTATTTAATAATAAGCCACAATTGCCTGGAATCCCGTCCCGTGCTGAGCCACAGCCAAAGAAAACACAAGGTGGTTTAAGTGTCGTCTTTTTCCCATCAGCCGGAACGTGACTTCTGTTTTTTTCTAGCAATCCTTTTAACCCTCGCTGGAGGGATTCAGACGACCCTGGGCGTGGCATAGAGAAAGCAAATGATGTGTACATTGTATGGTTTCATCGTTTCAAGAGTGCCACGTTGCACTGAGACGAGAGTCTAGCGTCGGAAGCTCCTTTTCAAATGTTCCTGTTGTGAAGCTGTTGAGATCTTGCCTGGAACACTAGCAAAAGAGACTTCAAGTCTGTTGCAACAATACATTGCATCAGTGGCCCTGTGGGTGCAAAGCTATTCTCCTTTCAGAAAGGAGAAATCATCCAGTAAACTTGCTGGTGATGTGTAACAACAGCAGATGGTGCTCTGTCCTTCCTGGTTTTTAGCTAAGGAAAGATTTCAATGCCACATCCACAGAGCGAGATAAAAAAACATGCCACAAGAATATAAAACTGCTGGAACGTTTCAATCCCATTACACTATTGAGTAGGACTCCAGTGTAGAGTACATTGTTTGTGTCACTAAGCAGTCAACACAAAGAAAGTCTTAAAACTATGCCAAGCAACATGTACTCATCAAGATTACAAACAGAAGAGGCAGGATTGATCACTGGAAGAGAACATAAGTCCTTGATTGAGTTGGCATCTACAGTAGTGGCCAAAATTGTGGAAACCTTTTGGGAAAAGTGTACAGTAGAAATGCCACCTTTGGTTAAGTCTCCACCCATTTTTCTTCTAATTTCTTTATAACTGTAGCCTTGTTCACTTTATAATACTATTTTGCATCGCTTTCTGGGCAACCAGTCAACTCTTTGCACTATGACTTTAATTTTATTACATTTTACAAGCTCACTCAATGAAAGAACACAAAAAAACCCCAACCAATTTGATAGTGATCACATAACATACTGACAAATGTCCTCCTCTCAGCTTCAATACATGACATCAGTAATTGAATCCTACTGTGATCTGATTGGCTCATTGCCAAAACAAGATGATACCCGATTGGCTCTCTAAACACTCGTGCTCATTGGCTACAATCAGGTGAAGGAAAGCTACCTGATATCAACTTAAGCAAGTTGTGCTTCCTTTTTCTGGTTATTTGGCTATCATTTTTCATAGAATACAGTACAGATAATTGAACAAACTATGTTGCATTACATTCTTGATTAAATTATCTTTCCATTGATATATAAATTTATGGTACTATTCCAAAAAAAAGTGGTGTTATTAGCCATCAAACCTCAAAAATACACTTTCCCCAAAAGGTTTCCACAATTCTAATACTCTTACTAAGCTCCTTCATCTGGTCTAGTTTAATGAAGAGAAGGACAAGGCGGGGACATGAGAGCAGTCTTCCAATATCTCAGGGGCTGCCCCAAAGAAGAGGGAGTCAAGCTATTCTCCAAAGCGCCTGAAGGCAGGACAAGAAGCAACGGATGGAAACTAATCAAGGAGAGAAGCAACCTAGAACTAAGGAGAAACTTCCTGACAGTGAGAACAATTAACCAGTGGGACAACCTGCCTCCAGAAGCGGTGAATGCTCCAACAGTGGAAGTTTTTAAGAAGAGACTGGACAGCCATTTGTCTGAAATGGTATAGGGCAGTGGTGGCAAACCTATGGCACGGGTGCCAGAGGCGGCACTCAGAGCCCTCTCTGTGGGCACACAGGCCATCACCCCAGTCCTAGGCCTTCAGCTGGGTTTTATAAAACCTTTTCGCTTTAGGCCTCTGCTGCCGTGTGCAAAAAAAAAAAAAGGTTCAATCAATCAGTCAATTTCAACTTTTCTCAGGAAAAAAAGATCTTGCAAAGTTGGAATTGATTGATTGAACTTTTTAGTCCCACCCAGTCTGCCGTTATCACTGCAGCCACACCCACCCAATGGGCCACACCATTTCAATTGGCCAAACCCACCCAATGGGCCACACCCACCCGGCACCTGACGATGCATAAGTGGGTTTTGGGTTGCAGTTTGGGCACTTGGTCTCTAAAAGGTTCCCCATCACTGGTATAGGGTTTCCTGTCTGAGCAGGGGGTTGGACTAGATGACCTCCAAGGTACCTTCCAACATTATTATTATTATTATTATTATTATTATTATTATTATTATTATTATGGATCATCACACGGTCAGCCACATGTTCAGACTGGATTTGGCATTTTGTCTACCTATCGAGTCCTTACCCAGGACCTGGGATAGGCAGATGTGGATGTTGTTGTTGTTGTTGTTGTTGTTATTATTATTATTATTATATGCCTAATTCTAAATTTTGGAAGCGCAATTCAGCATCAGACTTGTTATTCTGGCAGACAGGAGGCTGTTCATAAATACAGGGACGAATAAATCTGGCTGATAATTATTGAGAGTCAGTTTGACGTAGTTGCTAAAGGCACCTGGCTAGAAATCAGGAGACTTGGTTGTAGCACCAAGTCTTCGGCATCAAGCCGGCTGGGGGACCTTGGGCTGATCACACACTCTCAGCCCTCGGAAGGAGAAGGCCAAGACGAGCAGGGTCAGGAAGCTTTGCCAAGAGAAGTGCCTGGATTTGTCCATGTAGGTGGTGATGGTGATGATAGCTACTTGCTAACTGCGAGTCCCTTGGACTGCAAGGCAATCAAACTGGTCAGTCCTAGAGGAGATCAACCCTGACTGCTCCTTAGAAGGCCAGATCCTGAAACTCAAGTACTTTGGTCACCTAATGAGAAGGAAGGACTCCCTGGAGAAGAGCCTAATGCTGAGAAAGATTGAGGGCAAGAGAAGAAGGGGACGACAGAGAATGAGGTGGCTGGATGGAGTCCCTGAAGCAGTAGGTGTGAGCTTAAAGGGACTCCAGAAGATGGTAGAGGACAGGAAGGCCTGGAGGAACATTATCCATGGGGTCGCGATGGGTGGGACACAACTTTGCAACTAACAACAACAACTGACTGTGTATTTACTCTGGTGATGGAAAATAAACTTCACATTTGCATGTAGAACTTGGTATGTTGAGCAGTAAGTTGTATTACATTCCAGCAGGGTTAATATATAGCCCGGAATGTGATTTCACTGAAATGGAAAAAAAACCCAACAGGTTCTCTAGTCTAGTCCATCTGAAACCTTTGGAAGTTAATGTGTCTGCCACAAATTAATTCATGATGAAGCTGCACGAGCTTTGTGGGTTTCTCCAGGAAATCTACAGTGTACTTCTTGTGCGTTTGGCTGTGTAACCTACCTAATAGAATATGTATGAAAAGCAGAAGGCAAGATGCTTGCTTGTATTAGAAAGGTTGGGTGACTTGTTGAGATATTTTAGCTTTTGTACAAAGCAATTATTCTTTTTTTCTTTTAAGATCCTCACATTAAAGTCTCTGGAAAAAAGGAGAATGTTAAAGAAGCGAAGGAAAAGATCATGTGTGTGTTGGATACAAAAGTAAGTTGAAAATTTAACTACTCATCTTTAGGCTAGAATTCTAGAGGTTTTTTTTTTCAACTTGAGTGTTCACAAGAATAGAGAAACAACGACATGGTTGGTCTTTAGCTCACAAGGGCAAACTTTCTTACTAGAAGTGATAAAACCATCTAATATGGATTTTTTCCATAGTTGGTTCCCTGAGATTTCAAAAATAAATAATAATCTACCACCCTCCACAATTCTGTGGGTAATCGTGGTTTATGTGAAACTCCCAGATCTAGCCAGTTCTGCCATGGTGCCACATTTCGAAGCAGCGTCCATCCAAAGAGACATTTAATGCAAGGACTTTCATGTATCGTTGGTGATTTGCACCCTTTGCTGCAACTGTCCCGTCTCATTTCTACCTAGGATTTGGACACCAGATGTAGACATGCATCCTGATCTGCCCATAATAAGCAAAATATACAGCTAAAATGAAGAAGTCGCAGTCCAGACTAGACTTCGTCATCCCAAATTTTGTATCTAAACCTTGAAAAAGTGTGGGAAGTTGCCTATATTTGGGACAAGGGTGTTTTCATGGATTGGCAGTTTGACTCTTGATCCTGTTTTCAGAAATAGTGGGGCATCCAATTAAGCCCTCATCTGATTACTCATCCGACATCAGGCTTCCCAAATTGGCACAAAGCCCGTATACTTTAGGAAAGCTTTCACCTGCTCACCTTCCCATCTCAGAGTCTTTGAAAGCAAGGCCAGGAAAAAAAAAAAAAATAATGACAGTTTTAACGTAACAGCACGCCCAACATCTTGCTGAGTTTCTGCGCAAGATAACTTTTGTAAACCCGCCTAAAAAGAGTTGTCGTTGTTTTCAAATGTGCATTATCTTAATAGTTGGAAAGTGACAAAGTTTTGGGGCCAGCCCCCAATGAGTAAAGACTGGAGCACTAAAACATTTAAAAACACTTTCTTTAGCACAGAACATGACTTTCTCGACTCCTTTGCACAATTTCTGTGCTGGATCTGCATTGAAGTTTCACGGGGGAATGAAACTATGACCCATTCTGATGCTAACCAACCATTTCTAGCCTGGATTTTTAAGGACACGCTTTTTGTAAAAAAAAAACAAAAAACAAAACTTAGTTTTGAATTAAATATAGTCCTATCTGTTTAAAAGCACGCACTATCTGTGGATTTTGTACCACAGGGATATTTGCTTGCACATTTAAGATAGAGCCGGGCTCCCTAATTCCTGCGTCCTGACTCTCTGTCTGGCTGTGACCTGTTTCAAACCGGGGTACTTGAGCTCCGTTCACATGAGCGGCCTGCGCATGTACCTGCCACTCACACTCCCTCCTCCACGCACCGGGCCAGGCCACCAAGACGGAAAAGTTGGGGACCGCTGAGATAGAGAGCACAATCATGGATAAGAATGTTCCTTTTAGTTTGTACAAAACATTTCCATTTTTAGTTTTTAAAAAAAACTCCTTCAGTTGCTAACTCGGGAAAGGAGATTGGAAAATGGAGCAGATGAAACCTCACCAGAAAAATTGGGCTTAGATTGGAAACCAAGGCTTGAATGCCAACAGTTTCATAAAGATGGAATGTATCGCCTGCCGGCAGAGTGAAATAAAGAATATTCTGATTTCAATTTCAGAGCAACCGAGTCACCCTGAAGATGGACGTATCTCACACTGAGCATTCTCACGTCATTGGCAAAGGAGGCAATAATATTAAAAAAGTGATGGAAGAAACGGGCTGCCACATCCATTTTCCAGATTCTAACCGAAACAACCAAGCGGAAAAAAGCAATCAGGTAGGTATTCTCTGAGCTTCTCTTGAACCCTGAGATCGTGCGCCATCTTTGATGAAGTCGGAATTGTCTTCTAGGACTTTGCAAAGCTTTTGTGGGAAAGCATTTAGCCTACTTCTCTTGGGAGGGTATCACTTTCATACTTTGTGTTTGTTTTGCATTTGGAGGAGGAGGAGGAGGAGGAGGAGGAGGAGGAGGAGGAGGAGGAGGAGGAAGAGGCAGTATACCATATGTATAAAATTGCATGCTTTTCCTAAGAAAAGCTCTTTTCCAGAAAAAGCTTCCTTGGAGATTTTCCTATTGAAATTAAGGCTTAAGCACTAGATGCTTATTCTGGGTGTCATCTTTGAACACTCAAAGAAGTTGTCAAGGACATCATGCATACCCTTTTAGCAGGACACAGCAGCATACTTTTAAAACAAGAGTGTCAAACTCAATTTCATTGAGGGCCGCATCACCATTGCGGTTGCCCTTGGGGGGGCGGGTGGATGCGGCCTACTGGGTGGGTGTGGATGGAGTGGGTGTGGCCAGCTCTACATCATTCGCGTCAAGGGTGCCTGTGGGGGCCTGGGCAGGAGTGGGAAAGATCTGAGGGTCTCTGGCAGAAAGGGGTGGGACCAGAGCAGAGCCCATCAAGCTGGATATGTGAAGGAGGCGAGGGCCATTTGCTGGCCACTTCCAGGCAATAGTGCATTTCTTCAGTCCTCACAAAGGGTGACACCTCCCCAGCATGCACCCAGGGGTTAGGGCCGACGCGGCAGGAGCTGGTTCCTCGCTGTGGAGCTAAGACTGAATGCAATTCAGCATAGATGGCCACCACAAAATTGTATATTGGCTCCCGGCTGGCCTGGGCCAGGGCTAAGGCAGAGGGGGCGGTTCCCTCACTGTTTCCAGGATGGCTTCGCGGGCTACATGAAACCACTTTGCGGGCCACATCTGGGCCCCATGCCTTGTGTCTGACATGTCTGTTTTAAAAGTTTCTTGAAACCAAATTGTGTTTCAGCGTGTGGTTTTGTCAAATCACTGCATTCATTTTGACCTTGCTTCAGTTCCCCTTGTCATTCTGTGCACAATAACTCTGTGAGCATCAGTAATGCCATGCCCATCAAAAAGTGTAATAAATGTGATTGGTCTTGGTTGCACAGTTTTTCTCTCGGACAATTCCTCTCTCTGATGAACATGTTAAGTCCTAAGAAACCCTGTTTCCTGTAGATTTGTGAAGAGCACACCCATATAACCTCAAAACTTGTTTTTAATTTCCATAACATTTGTAAATGTTAGGGCAGACTTGAAGCGTTCAAGGAAGGCAACAATTTCTCAGGTGTGTGTAAGCAGGACATACGAACAAGGCCCAGTTATTCAGATAATTTTTGCTTCTGTGCCAAGCTGAGATGCAGTAGGCTTAAGTCTTTTGTGAATGTGTCTGTCATGTTCCCTTATTTATTTATTTATTTATTTATTTATTTATGAGACTTATATACCGCTTTAAGTGCAAGCACTCTCTAAGCGGTGTACACCAGTAAGCAATGTATATATATATATATATATATATTTACATTGCCCCCAACAATCTGGGTCCTCATTTTACCTACCCTGGAAGGATGGAAGGATGAGTCAACCTTGAGCCGGTGAGATTTGAACCGCTGACCTGCTGTACACAGTCAGCTAAAGTGGCCTGCAGTACTGCACTCTAACTGCTGCGCCACCTCGGCTCTTCTTTACCCTCTGCTCCTGTGGGTGACCCTGGGGTGATTTTGAGAGTAAGAAACTAGAATTCCAAGAGATCTCTGCAATGCATTGATATTCCGTCAAGGATACTCTGCCTGCTTCCGCTATTATTAGAATTTAACTTTTGCTCCTGGCGTTTCCACAGGTGTCTATCGCCGGGCAACCAGCCGGAGTGGAATCCGCCAGAGTTAGAATACGGGTAATTATGAAATGCCAGCATGAGTGAATGTTACTTTAAAAAGCTGGAAGTCCTCCAGATGTGTTATGTGTTCGGCAAAGTTTTGCAGCTCGGGGAATTTAGCGCACTTGGAGCTGCAACTTTTCTTATTGTTTTCCTGACTTCCATTCCAGTGGAATGAAAGCTCAGCTGTCTGTCAAGTGAAGTAGACTCCTCAAGGCCTCTTTGCATCTTCTGCACTCCGGAGAGCAGAGACCGTAAGCCACAGTGTAGAAGAACAAAGTATTTCTTTAGACACTTCTTGTCACTTCCTGTGTCTCTATAGATACAGTTCCTGTCACTGCGTATCCTCTTCAGGATTACTGCCCCTTAATGCCAGCTCAATAGATCTTATCCCTGTAGAGCTTTCCATGTTGCTAAGAGTCCAGATATAAGAATTAACATGTCAACCTATAAAGCCTTAACAGTTCAGAACCACAGTGTGCTTTCCCCCCCCCCTCCCATTCATTCTCTCCTGATTTTACAATACTCGTTAGATCCAGGAAAGCGGGCGCTTTGGTGTGTGAGAAGTTTTATATCAAAGTGTATTTTATTCTTTATCTAGTCTTTCCGTCTTCCCTTAAAACATTAACCGAATTCACAATGGACTGAGAATCGGTGTCGCCACCAGATAATTGACAGTCAAGCTGAAATTAAATTAATCGAGTAAAAATAGCAAAAAAAAAAAAACTTTTACTCAAACTTCCTCAAAACCTCAAATAACAGATCTAATCCACCATATAATAATTATAATAATAATAAAGTTGGAAGGGACCTTGGAGGTCATCTAGTCCAACCCCCTGCTCAGGCAGGAAACCCTACACCATTTCAGACAAATGGCTGTCCAGTCTCTTCTTAAAAACTTCCAGTGTTGGAGCATTCAAGAAAGAGTGAGGTCTGTAAAAACAAACAGAGTTAATTAAATTAGGTCTCCCAGCAGAACTGCAACTTCAGAAGAATAAACCTAGCTATACACACACACACACACACCTCAACTGTCACCCTAGAATCAGCACATAGACACTTCCACACCAGGACATGCTCCCCTATAAAAGCCTGTTGCTGTACCCCATTTCTCTGCAGCTATCCCTAAAGGCAAACTCCTTGCTTTTAGGAATAAATATTTCTTCTTTCCTCCTCCAGCTGTCTGGATCTCATTTTTATTTATTCTTGTGCAACCCCCAGCTGGAGTTGGCACCCCAAATTATTCTTCTGACAGGTGGCAGCCCCATTGTCTGAAATGCTCTCTCCATCTAAGGCAGCGGTTCTCAACCTGTGGGTCGGGACCCCATTTGGGGTCGAACGACCATTTCACGGGGGTCGCCAAACAATGCACTCCGCCATTTTTCCCCCCTTTTCCTTAGCTGTGCTACTTCCTTTTATTCTATTGGCTTTTGAAAGCCAATAGAATAGACTCTCTTGAATAGAGTCTAATTTTATTGGCTTTCCAAAGCCAATAGGAATTGTCCAGGCTGTCTCTGCCCTGCTGAGCCCGCCAAAAGTCCCATTCTGCAAACGGTGCTGCACCAGTTGAGTAGTCCTCGACTTACGACCGGTAGGGTAGTCCTCGACTTATGACCCGTTGGCGGTCGCGGCAGTAAAAAGGTTGAGAACCACTGATCTAAGGCAAGCCTGTAGGTTGAGTCCCTGCCCTCCCCATTTTGGCCATGGAAAGGCTAGGGAGAGCTAGTTCTCCACCAGCCAAAGAAAAACAGCATGATAGTCACAACCAAAGCCAAGAACAGATGGAGGCAAGCCGAGAGGGAACCAGGTAGCCCACTAAGGAAGGTCATCTGAGTTGCTTGGATTGGAAAGAGCAGGCTTTACTTCTTATACACTACGAAAAATGGGGAATTCTACCAGCTTGCAAATATTTTTCACTCTTACTTCCTCCGAACGGAATCGCTTGCCGAAAATCGTTGGTTTTGGCTTTCTTAACGTTCTGCAGTTCTTGGATTTCTCTGGAGCTTCTTTCCGTGCCTCGTTGCTCCCTGGGCATGAAGCCGGAGACTGCCAAACACATTAGGGCGATTCCTGCATTTCATCTGCTATTCTAGTGGTCTGTGGTTCTGCTGAGTTTTTCCTCCCTTTCGTATGTGTTTTTCATTGGGAGAGGGGAAACCACTGGGGATGCATTGCATGAAATGAAAACTTGAAATAGTTCCTAGTCTTTCTGCTCCGCTCCTGAAGGCCCCTCGGTGCCCATGAGGAGCAGAATCCTTGCCTCTGAACTGACAACAAAGGATTCCCCATTTTTAACAACAAGGGGCTCTCGATGTGGTGGCTATGAAGAGCAGAGGTCTGTCCTGAAGCCCTTCCAGCTCTGTGCTCAAATATGCAGCACATTAGCAGAGTAGATGGTGAGACTCTAGAAAGAGTATAGAGAAGAGCAACAAAGATGATTAGGGGATTGGAGGCTAAAACATATAAGGAACGGTTGCTGGAATTGGGTATGTCTAGTTTAATGAAGAGAAGGACGAGGAGGGACATGATAGCAGTCTTCCAGTATCTCAGGGGCTGCCCCAAAGAAGAGGGAGTCAAGCTATTCTCCAAAGCGCCTGAAGGCAGGACAAGAAGCAACGGATGGAAACTAATCAAGGAGAGAAGCAACCTAGAACTAAGGCGAAACTTCCTGACAGTTAGAACAATTAACCAGTGGAACAACCTGCCTCCAGAAGCGGTGAATGCTCCAACACTGGAAGTTTTAAGAAGGGACTGGACAGCGATTTGTCCGAAATGGTATAGGGCAGTGATGGCGAACCTTTTAGAGACTGAGTGCCCAAACTGTAACCCAAAACCCACTTATGCAGCGTCAAGTGCCGGGTGGATGTGGCCCATTGGCTGGGTATGGCCCATTGGCTGGGTATGGCCCATTGGGTGGGCGTGGCTGCGGTGATAACGGCCGACAGGGTGGGACTAAAAAGTTCAATCAATCAATTTCAACTTTGCAAGATCTTTTTTTTCTCCGCAAGAAGTTGAAATTGACTGATTGAATCTTTTCTTTTTTTTGCACATGGCAGCGGAGGCCTAAAGTGAAAAAGTTTTATAAAACCCAGCTGAAGTCCTAGGACTGGGGCAACGGCATGCGTGCCCACAGAGAGGGCTCTGAGTGCCGCCTCTGGCACCCATGCCATAGGTTCGCCACCACTGGTATAGGGTTTCCTGCCTGAGCAGAGGGTTGGACTAGATGACCTTGAAGGTCCCTTCCAACATTATTATTATTATTATTATTATTATTATTATTATTATTATTATTATTATTATTATTATTATTATTATATATGATGGAATTCAGCACATTAGCAGAGTAGATATGATGGCATTTACATTGATTATTTGCTGTGGATCTGTTTTGGTTGCTGTTCTAGGAACTGCTGCCCTTGGTGTTAATGTTTGAATTACCTATAGCTGGAATCCTTCAACCAATCCCCGATCCAAGTTCTCCCACGATTCAGCACATATCGCAGACGTACAATATTTCGGTGTCCTTTAAGCAGCGTTCTCGGACGTACGGCGCTACGGTCATGATCAGAGGGTCCCAGAATAACGCCAGTGCCGTGAAGGTGAATTATTGTTCCGAGCTTAATGGTTTTAGGGAGCCGTTCGATGGGGTGGGGTTTTCTTGAGTGGGTGGCGAGTAAATGGGGCTTGCGGATGTTACGGGCTTTTTACTGATATTGCCCCAGAGGGGAGGAGAATGTAGATCCAGAGAGCGAATTTCAGGCATAATATAAATTGCAATTGGAGACTGCAAGTAGAAATCAGAGTTGCGTAGCGCTAGACCACATACCTGTGTTCAGATTTCAAGGTAGCCTTGCTCACAACTAAATGAGCAAAAGCACTTCATGTTTGGCCAAGAAGTCTTCTGCCATCGGTTTTACCTTAAAGCTGATGATAGATGATGATGATATCCAATTTTTTAAGGTCCTGTTTGTTGCTCTGCATAAAGAAATAATTTTTAAGGTTCTACGTTTGCTTCCGTGCATAAATAAATAATCTTTCCCTATAAGTTACGTGGGTGTTTACCTGGTGATTTCCAGAGTTTGTTGCTACAAGATAATTTCCTAGAAACAGGATATTAAGCCTACTGGAATAAGCAAACCATTTTGTTTCAAATATCTATGGAGATGCTCAGTCATCCAGATTATGGTTGTCCCAAAGGTGCTTTTTTCCAAAATGCAACTGGAATTTCTTGGTGTTTTTTTTTTTTCACCCCCTTTTGAAATTGTTTCGCTTCACATCCAGGAAGCTTCTTCTGAAGAAGATTGTTCTTGGATGAGAATGGAAACTATTTCAAAAGGGGGGGGGACCCAGTGTGATGACCCAGGGCACAGCACAGAGGCAATGCAGTCAACTGGCAATTCAAACCGCCCTTTAATTGCTCCAAATTTCCCCAAATGCTCCCACTTTTCTGGCAAGCCTCCAAACAAAGAAAGACACACACACACACCTTCAGCCACCTCTGGCTGCAAGTAGTTTCACATACAGTCTGATTAGGAGAGGAATTTACTCAAGGCCACGGAGATAACAAGGAATGACACATACATCATAAACCTAACGAGTCTGTGTGAATACACGCTTGCCTGAGCAGTTTCAAAAGGGAAGCCAAAATACAGTCCGAGATCTTTGAACATCCAAGCAATGTTGTCAGCCAGCCTAATGGTCAGAGTTTCCAGGTTTCCAAACAGAAGTCATAGATCAGCGGCAATACACAACACTCCAAGGAATCAGCGTTTGTTCCCGAAAAATGCCTCTCCCCACAGCGTCTCCTTAAATCTCATTCTCCAGGTGTTCCTTGTGGAGAGGGGCGGGACGCTCTCCTCCTGAGTAGTTGAGCCTGCCTGCATTGTTCCCTCCTTCTCTCCACTCTCCATGCTCTAGGATCAGGTGGGGGTGGCCCTTGCTCATCACCTGAACTCTGTCTCTCCTGTTCATCCTGTCCCCGTCCTGAAGGGCCCTGGCCTGCCTCAGCCTGCTCTTCCCCACATTCCTCTGAAGCCACAGACACCTCTCCCTCGACCTCCATAGGGTTCCTGTTCCAGCTCATTTTCTTCCGCAGATTCAGTGGAGGCATGACACCCAGGAAAATCCAGTTGCCTTTTGTTTCAAATCATTTTAAGCACAAATCTTTGCAAAATGGGAAACGTCAGAGCTTCATCTCAGAAAGAAAGGTGCTTTCCAGTCCTTTGAAAGGCCAGAATCTGCACCAGGATAGCGAGTAGATAAGTCTCTTTCATTTTCTCTTCCTGGATAGGAAGGAACGGCTCTGCTCTTGGAGCACCTGGCCGGAAGCTTGGCCTCTGCAATCCCGGTGAGCACCCAGCTGGACATAGCAGCCCAGCACCACCTCTTTATGATGGGCCGAAATGGCAGCAACATCAAGCATATCATGCAGAGAACTGGTGCTCAGATCCATTTCCCCGATCCTAGTAATCCCCAGAAGAAATCCACGGTCTACCTCCAAGGCACAATCGAATCGGTCTGTCTTGCCAGACAATATCTCATGGTAAGTGTCTTAAAGGATGGGGGCAACTGATGTGGTGGGAACAGCTGCCTTTCCCGGGTCACCAGAAGCCCCACTGGAAGTTTGCTGTCACCGGTCGCTTCACACTGACTATCGGTAGTCCTCAACGACCACAACTGAGCCCAAATTTTCTGTTGCTAAGGGAAGACATTTGTTAAGTGAATTTGGCCCCATTTTATGAACTTTCTTGCCACTTTCTTAACAGGAACAGGACTTCCTGTTCCGGTCAGCAGCGTCATCGGCTGGGAGACTCGGGATGCCGAGCTCTTCAGCTGAGTTTCTTCTTGTTTGGGGACCCTAAATGGGCCAGAAGCCGCCCCGGAGAGGTGGCACTGAAGGAAGGTACTTCCAGGGACCTAGGAGAGACGGTGGTCTCTCCGATCGGTCTAGGACAGGGGTAGGCAACCTCAGCTCTTTTATGACTCATGGACTTCAACTCCCAGAATTCCTGGGAGTTGAAGTCCAACAGAAGAAAGGCTAGCTAACTCTTTGTCTAGCCATAGCTGTAAGCTATGGAAGTCAAGAAGCTCTACTTAAACTGATTGTAAACAGTGTGTTTGAAGCTGGGTAAGAAATGTTTTTCTCTATCCTACTTATTTTTCCTGAAAAAAAAAAAAAAGAACTCCCAAATTTTCTGTTGCTAAGGAAGACATTTGTTAAGTGAATTTGGCCCCATTTTATGAACTTTCTTGTCACTTTCTTCAGTGAAACTGGCGTTCCCCCCCCTCCAATTGACTTTGCTTGTCAAGGTCGCAAAAGGGGATCACGTGACCCCGGGACACTGCGACCGTCATAAATAGGAGTCAGTTGCCCAGCGTCTGGATTTTGGTCATGCGACCCATGGGGATGCTGCAGTGGTGATAAGTCTGAAAAACAGTCATAAGTCATCCTTTTCAGTGCTGTTGTGACTTTGGGCGGTCGCTAAATGACCTGTTGTAAGTCGAGAACTACCTACACCAGTAATTAGGCAGCCTCTTTTATGGAAGAAAACCACCCAAAGAAATCACGCTTGGCTGAAACGCTCTTACCCACATCACAAATTATAATTTTCCCCCCTCGGAGAATGGAGTAGGAATCAGGCCCAACAGCTCAAACCCAGATTAGCCACCTCCGTGTGTTACTAGTTCTCAGCTACCCATACAGATTGTCTGTTGTTGTTGCACTTTCAGATAGTTTGTCATTGTCAAGACTTAACATACAGTAGTGGCCAAAATTGTGGAAACCTTTTGGGAAAAGTGTGCAGTACAAATGCCACCTTTGGTTAAGTTCCCACCCATTTGTCTTCTCATTTCTTTATAACGGTAGCCTTGTTCACTTCATGATGCTATTTTACATCGCTTTCTGGGCAACTCTTTGCACCATGACTTTAATTTTATTACGTTTCACAAGCTCACTAAATGAAAGAACACAAAAAACTCCAGCCAATCACATAACACACTGACCAATGTCCTCTTCTCAGCTTCAATACAGGACATCAGTAACTGAATCCTACTGTGCTCTGATTGGCTCATGGCCAAAACAAGATGACACCCGATTGGCTCTCTAAACACTCATGCTCATTGGCTGCTATCAGATGAAGGAAAGCTACCTGAGATCAACCTAAGCAAGTTGTGCTTCCTTTTTCTGGTTATTTGGCTATAACTTTTCATAGAATACAGTACAGATAGTTGAACAAACTATGTTGCATTACATTCTTGATTATAAATTATCTTTCCATGGATATATAATTTTAGGGTACTACTCCCAAAACAAAAGTGGTGGTGTTAGCCATCAAACCTCAAAAATACACTTTTCCCAAAAGGTTTCCACAATATTGGCCACTACTGTAGTTTCCACAGTTTACGAAATCGTGATCATGTAGGAATCCCACTAAAGGCTTCTGGGCCTCCCTCTGAAACCAGGGGGATTGAACCAGCTTCACTTGGCTGGTTCTTAACTCTGGAGAGGCAGTTAGTTAAATTACCCACCTCAAAAATGATTATTCAGTTAGCTGGTATGGTTTTCCAATGCACCAGAAAGCAAGATAAGAAGCAAAAGAAGAAGAAGAGATGGGACAGCCACTTGTCTGGAATGGTATAAGACAGTGGTTCTCAACCTTTTTAATGCCGCGACCCCCAACCGGTCGTAAGTCGAGGACTACTCAACTGGTCGTAAGTGGAGGACTACTCAACTGGTGCAGCACCGTTTGCAAAATGGGACTTTTGGCGGGCTCAGCAGGGCAGAGACAGCCTGGACAATTCCTATTGGCTTTTGAAAGCCAATAGAATTAGACTCTATTCAAGAGAGTCTATTCTATTGGCTTTCAAAAGCCAATAGAATAAAAGGGAGTAGCACAGCTAAGGAAAAGGGGGAAAAAATGGCAGACTGCGTTGTTTGGCGACCCCCGTGAAATGGTCGTTCGACCCCAAATGGGGTCCCGACCCACAGGTTGAGAACCACTGGTATAAGATCTCCTGCATGGGCAGGGGGTCAGACTGGATTACCTCCAGCCTCCCTCTGGCTTCTGTTCTGTTATTTGAAAATTCCTGGACACAAAAGTGAGGTTCTCACTGTATCCAGTCCAGAATTTCCTTGAGTCTGAAGTTGTCTTGTGGGTTTTTGGAATTTGAGAACTTGCAAAGTGCAAAGAAGTGGTTGAAGGTTGAAATCCCACAATCCAAAGAGAGTAGCCAACAGGAGTGCTAGATGGCACCACATAAACTTGTGTCCTGTACGTACCTTGGATAGTCACTAACACAGCCATTCTTTCTTTCAATGCAGCAAGGGAGCACACATTTTATGGGATGGTAAGACCTGGTTCTCTTTATCTGTTCTGTAGCATTTTAATATTCAAGGCTAGCACATGCCGTTTCCACATTTAAGGCATAACAAATGGGGCACGTCCACCTTGCAGAATGAAAGGTGCAAAGAAAGAAAGGTGCAACAGAAAGAGTTGGATTTAGACCCCGAGGTCTTTCCAACTCTACTATTCTGTTAAAAAGCTACACTAAAGGGGGAGGTAGAACATCCACTTTAAAATATTTGAACAATTCTCAGCTGTGTTACGACTGTTCTTGATTGATCCAGATGGGAGAACTGACATGAAAAGTTAGAAATTGCAAATGTGTGGAAAATATGGCGTTGGTTGTTGAAAGATATAACATTTTTTCATCTCATCAGTGCAGTGGGCGGGATTCACTACATATTTGTGTTGTAATGTGTTCTGCATGCGTATTTCTGTTCCCAGTGCCAAATTGTCTTGTCTTTCTGGCTCTCACATACTCATTATTGGATTTTTTTTTCGTGTCTTGGAACTTGACTGGACAGTCTGCTGCATGATCATAATAGGCCTGCATGCAAATAATTAGCTCCTATGGGTTTGTATGTATGTATGTACGTACCTATTGCTGAAAGGATCAGAAGATTTATTCCCAAAACGCTTCTCTTAGTTTCAAAGGCTCTTAAGAAGTTTTAGTTAGGCAAAAGCTGAACCTGTAAGTTCTTGCTTGTAGAGCAGATCCTATCCAGAGGTTAGCAGTTATTGTGAGTCTCCCATATTCTTGAACTGCCGAGAAATTCAAATAATGAAACTTCCTGAGAAACATATTCTGTCAGTATGGAAATGTCGAACAACTGACATATTCTAGAATCTGGAAACCTCTTGTTAGACCATGTGAGTAAAATGCAGGATTGGGGATGTGTTCATGCTGGGAATGGCGAACAGGGGATGGCTGTTCAACTATGTGTTGTTGCACAAAACATGAAGGGCTTCCCAAACTTTATATTGGATTTTGCATTTCATCTTCCAGGGCTGCCTTCCTCTTGTGCTGATGTTTGATATGAAGGAAGAAATTGACGTAGAACCACATTTTATTACCCAGCTGATGGAGCAGCTAGATGTCTTCATCAGTATTAAACCAAAGCCGAAACAGACGAGTAAGGTGAGTAGAACGGACTCTACGTTTTTCTGGACAAGGCTGCATTGAGCTTTTAACGATCTTGCTTTGAAAATTAAGCCGGCCTATTCTGATCATCGCAGGGACCATGGTTAAAGATGCTGAACTTGTCAGCGGGAAAGCTGATAGCCCGGGTTCAAGACCCAAGCACCACGCAACGGGATGAGATCCCCTTCCTTACCCAGCTCCTGACCACCTAGCAGTTTGATAGCATGCAAATCCAGCTAGATCAGAGGTAGGCCACCTTGGCTCTTTTATGACTGGTGGACTTCAACTCCCAGAATTCCTGAGCCAGCCATGCTGAGGGGAAAGGGAGAGGTTTCCAAGCTGAGCCATGCTGGCTCAAGGAATTCTGGGAGTTGAAGTCCACGAGTCATAAAAGAGCCAAGGTTGCCTACCCCTGCCCCAGATGGTGGGCAAGGAGTTGTGGTTGAAGATCAAGGGTCTGTAGAAACAGGCGGTCCAGGGGCAATGCACAGAGAGCTGAATTAGCTCAAGGACCTCACCAATGATGGGCCTACCACAGGGGTAGGCAACCTCAGCTCTTTTATGACTCATGGACTTCAACTCCCAGAATTCCTGAGCCAACCATGCTGAGGGGAAAGGGAGAGGTTTCCATGCTGAGCCATGCTGGCTCAGGAATTCTGGGAGTTGAAGTCCACGAGTCATAAAAGAGCCAAGGTGGCCTACCCCTGAGCTAGATAAATAGGTGCCACTTCAGTGGGAAATTAGCAGCTTCCTGTGCGCCTCGGCATATAATTGTGCTGGCCACAGGACCACAGAAGTGTCTTCAGAGAATGCTGGCTACCTTGGCTAAGAAACAGAGAAGAGCACTGCCCTCTTGTGTTGGACATGACCAGAGCAGAGGAAATCTTTACCTTTTCATACTTTCTAATAATTGTAATAATAAAGTTTGAACTCTGGTGCTGGAGAAGACTCCTGCAAGTCCCCTGGACTGCAAGGCGATCAAACCGGTCAGTCCTAGAGCAGATCAACCCTGACTGCTCTTTAGAAGGCCAGATCCTGAAGTTGAAACTCAAGTACTTTGGCCACCTAATGAGAAGGAAGGACTCACTGGAGAAGAGCCTAATGCTGGGAAAGATGGAGGGCAACAGAAGAATGGGACGACAGAGAATGAGGTGGCTGGATGGAGTCACTGAAGCAGTAGGCATGAGCTTGAATGGACTCCAGAAGATGGTAGAAGACAGGAAGGCCTGGAGGAACGTTGTCCATGGGGTCGCAATGGGTCGGACACGACTTCGCAACTAACAACAACAACAAAAATAATGAGAAATCTGTTTTAACCGCATTTTAACAAATACTAATCCAGTGTTTGTTTAGTACAGTGGTTCTCAACCTGTGGGTCGGGACCCCATTTGGGGTCGAACGACCATTTCACGGGGGTTGCCAAACAACGCAGTCCGCCATTTTTTTCCCCCTTTTCCTTAGCTGTGCTACTCCCTTTTATTCTATTGGCTTTTGAAAGCCAATAGAAGAGACTCTCTTGAATAGAGTCTCATTCTATTGGCTTTCCAAAGCCAATAGGAATTGTCCAGGCTGTCTCTGCCCTGCTGAGCCCGCCAAAAGTCCCATTCTGCAAACGGTGCTGCACCAGTTGAGTAGTCCTCGACTTACGACCAGTTGAGTAGTCCTCATCTTATGACTGGTTGGGGGTCGCGGCATTAAAAAGGTTGAGAACCACTGGTTTAGTACGTAGGTTGAATAAGAGAGGGGAGAGTATATAGCCCTGTCTCACTTCTTTTCCACTCTGAAGCCAGCTCATTTCACCCTTGATTGTGACTTGTTCTTCTTTGTGTCGTTTTATACGAAGACAATGAGATACTCTACAATTCCCATTTTTCTAAGGACCCTTGAGAGTTTAACATGACTGACACTCCTCAAAGACTTTTCTATTGTCACATATTGACTTATTTTGGGTATCCCTTGGTTTTCTAAATAGGTCAGCAGACATCAGCAATAATACGTCCTGTTCCTTGGCCTTTTCTAAAAACCATCTTGAACATCTGGGCTCTAATTTGTGTTGGATGATCCTAGACATTATTTCACTGTCATGTGAAATTAAGTCTATTGTGTAATAATTTGCACACTGTTAAGTGTCCTTTCTTTGGTCTTGCCGTGTTGTGTTATTTAACAGGAACCAGCGTGTCTAGCTGCCACAATGTAATATCTAATGTAAATACTGAAGATCTTTATTAATTAGCAAATGATGTCTTTCTAATGACTTCATCAGATTATATTTTTAATATCAAGTTAATTCCTACAAAAGTACCAGAATGTTTGCCTTCAATGTTGGTCTGAAGCTTCCAAGAAAAACAAAAATGTAGCCAGTATCTCACTATTATGTAATTTTAAGGCTAAGAGAAACACAAGCAAGGGATACAAGCTGACCAGATGTTTTTTTGAAAGTTCTTCCTAGCCCCAATCTTCTTAGGCTGATGAACAGACAACAAGGGAAGACTCCTTTGACAACTTGACCAAATGCAGTTAACAACCCAATATGCAGAATTAAATAAAGCAGCCCTTGTTTTGCTACCAAGATGAATTAAACCAGTTCTTGTTCTACGTCAAAACATGCTTTTTCCTTGTCACAATTATTGTGGTGACTTTTCTGTGAAGGAAAGTTGGCATAATAAAGTTAAATGTGATGGTGGGGAGTCTCAGGGCTCTAGAAAATGGGAAATCCAGTTTCTCTAGACCTGTATGTTGAGGGGAAAAAAAATGTTATGAACTGATATTTTTATTTGACTTGGGAAACACTGCAATGTGCTACTGATATAATAAATTTGCAAAGTCTTCCTAATTTCCTACAAAGGTCTAAACAAGGCCAGGAATCTGAGCTTAGAGCTTGGCTGCCTAAAGCAGAGATAACTACATTTATATCAAAGATTGGATATTGTTGGTTGGTGTGATTCTAAATGAGGCCGAAATGTTGAATGCACCTATACACAAAGCCTAATTTAGTTCATCTTCTGAACTATTACAGTTTCAATGACTGTATATTTGGTATTGCAGCCAAGAATCCCTTACCATTCCAGATTTTTTTTGTATAACTCAAAGTATGTAGTTTAGGAGCCACAGCTACTCTGTTACTACTAGGAGGAGCTTTCTTCAAGAGTGGATTTGTAAACAAGGCTGGTGACTCTTTCCAGTTGTCTGAAAATTGTTTGAAACATGTGTCAGAAACTCACGTCCGTGTTTTCTTTTCGCAGTCTGTGATCGTGAAAAGCGTTGAGCGAAATGCCTTAAATATGTATGAAGCACGCAAATGTCTCCTGGGTCTGGAAAGCAGTGGCATTGCTCTAGCGACAAATCCCTCCCCAATCTCTTGCCCAGTTGGTCTTCCTTGTCCTGGCTTGGACATCTTGACCTCAGGTGGCCTTGGACTAACTGGACTCGGTATGATCTACAATCTAATATTTTCAAACCTCTTCAGAATGAGCTGTATTAACCATGCCTTTTCAAGGTTTAAGGCTGGGGTGTCCAATCTTGGCCATCTTAAGACCTATGGACTGCAACTGCCAGAGTTGAATTCATGGCTGGCTCAGGAATTCTGGGAGTTGAAGTCCACAGGTCTTAACGTGGCCAAGGCTGGACACTCCTGGTGTACGGATTTATTTAAAAAGTAGGCTGAACAATAGCTTGAACATGTAAGACTATGTTGGGGTGTGTGCGCGTGGGTGTGTTTCTCATACATAAAAAAGACAATCATGGAAGAAAAACATCTGTTTAACTTATGAGAGGAAATGGAAGAATGAGAGAAGAACTTGGAAATTTAAGGTAGGAATTTATGGAGGTAGGGAGGCTGTCAGCAGCAAAGGAAGAATTTGCAGTCATAGATGTTAAGTTGTAGTTGTTGAGTTAAGCCAGGAGTTGCCTGAATAAAACCTGGATGACCTGTTTCCAAGGTAGACTGTTGACTGTACTTCTTTGAAAAATAAAACAAGGGAACCCCATTTCTTGTTTTTCAAGAGGCAACTGGACTTTCTTTGTTTTTCCTTGAAGACATTTCGCTTCTCATCCATCTTTAGTTCAGAACTAAAGAAGCTTCTTGGATGAGAAATGAAACATATTCAAGAAAAAACAAACAAAGTCCAGTTGCCTCTTGAAAAAGCACCTTTTGGACAACCATGACCTGGATGAGCGAGAACCTCCATAGACAAATCTCATTTCTTGTTGGGGGCAGCATCCAAGGAGAGAAGTAGGCATCTTGCCCATCTAGAGTGGATCTTCCTTGAGAGTTTTTCACCATCCAACAGAAGAGCAAAAATCACTCATTCAATTTTGCATCAGTCTTTAAAATCATTGGTTGTGTGTCTACAGGGTTGTAAAATCTCTTTTACTTATCTTTTTTTTTAATAGGTCTTTTGGGTCCAACCACTTTATCTGTCAACACATCTACACCCCCAAACTCTCTCCTAAATGCTCTCAATAGTTCGGTTAGTCCTTTGCAGAGTCCAAGTTCAAACACACCAAGTTCAACTCTCTGGGCTTCCTCAATCGCTAATACAAGCTCTACAGGTTGGTATTTTGGGTTTAAATTTGGGACATTTTAAATAGACCAGTGTAGCACACACACACACACACACCCTAAACATGCATACGAGGACATTAAAATGATGCCACTACTTCAAGACACCATCACTGTAAACTGGGATTGTTTGAGTCCTTGGGACTTCCTGATGGGCATAGAGTGTGCCATTTCATTGTGGTTTGTGGTGGAGCACTTGCTTTGCATCCAGAAGACCCTAGTTTAGTTCTTGGCATTTCAAGAACCTAGTAAAACAAAAGCTTTTCCTAAGGCAGGGGTAGGCAACCTTGGCTCATTTATGACTCGTGGACTTCAACTCCCAGAATTCCTGAGCCAGCATGGGGGAACTATGGCCCCCTCATAACTCGTGGACTTCAACTCCCAGAATTCCTGAGCCAGCGTCAGGGAACTATGGCCCCTTCATGACTCGTGGACTTCAACTCCCAGAATTCCTGAGCCAGCATGGGGGAACTATGGCCCCCTCATGACTCGTGAACTTCAACTCCCAGAATTCCTGAGCCAGCGTCAGGGAACTATGGCCCCTTCATGATTCGTGGACTTCAACTCCCAGAATTCCTGAGCCAGCGTCAGGGAACTATGGCCCCCTCATGACTCATGGACTTCAACTCCCAGAATTCCTGAGCCAGCATGGCTCCGCTTGGAAACCTCTCCCTTTCCCCTCAGCATGGCTGGCTCAGGAATTCTGGGAGTTGAAGTCCACGAGTCATAAAAGAGCCAAGGTGGCCTACCCCTGCCCTAGGGGAAAGACACCTCTGGGCTAGTCCATATTCTATGCAATCTTGCTCTGCTGAATTGCAAATTGATCACAGGTAGTCCTCGACTTACGACGACTCATGGATGCTGAAAAAAGTGACTTGCAACCGGTCCTCACACTTGCTCTCAATTTTATTTTAAAAAATGTCAATTAAAAAAAAAAAAAAAAAGACAAAAACACATATTATCGCCCCCCCAGCTGAACACTGACAAATCTATTGCAACCAAAATGGCTTCCTCCCTTGCAAAGCAGGTCCAAAATGGATAAGCATCTACACCTCTTTGTAAGCCAGTTGACTTTTCTCACACTTGCAACATCCCCGTAAGCACACGATCAAAACTGGAGTGCTTGGCAACTGGCTTGTATTCATGACGGTTACACCGTCCCAGGGTCACAACATCGCCACGTGTGATTTGCTTAATGACTAAGAGATTCGCTTAATTGCAGCAAAACAAGGTTGTAAAATACCGTCCCAATTGTGTTTGTAAGTTGAAGATTCCCTGTATCTGCTTAGGACTTTAGATACCTTCAGCCTCAGCAGAAATGAGGCAGAACGTCTGACATTTTCTTCCAGGTTTCTCTGCTATTCCTCACCTGATGATGCCGCCTACTGCACAAGCCACGTTAACCAGTATCTTGTTGTCAGGAGTGCCCAACTACGGTCAAAGCACACCATCTCCCCCTCCCGGCTTAACTCCTGTTGATATTCATGTGAATGGCATGCAAGTGGAGAGCAAGAAAAAACCAACCTCATCATTAAATGGTCATGTAAAGGTAAACAAATGACCTCAGGGTGTAACCCTAGCAGGTTTATGACAGAGTGAATTCCAACTAGCTAAGCAGAATTTTCTTTCGTGCACATTCTATGTAATAGCAATAGGGCTTAGCCTTATATACTGCTTCACAGTGTTTTTATAGCCCTCTAAGCAGTTTACAGAGTCAGCCTATTTGCCCCCAACAATCTGGGTCCTCATTTTACCAATCTTGGAAGATGGAATGCTGAATCAATCTTGAACCAGTCAGGATTGAACTCCAGGCAGTGGGCAGAGTTAGCCTGCAATACTGCATTCTAACCACTGTGCACCACCACAACTCATATCAAACATGCAAAAATAAAGCTTGTTTTTAATTGGGCTTAAATATTAGTGCACTTTACTCGGCAACTACATAATCGTTACTGCTCCTTTTTCTAGGACGTTACTTTTTCAACGGAACTTAACCAGGATAAATTTTTGTTAGAGGCTTTGCATATCATATATAGTATAACTTAGACATTCTGGCTTCTGATGGTGTGAAAACAATTATGTCATTTTATTATGGGAGCTTTTTTACATCATAGAATATATATCGTGTGTGTGTGTGTGTGTGTAAGTCTTTGGTTATTCGGGTTTTCTCCCGCATAAAATCAGAAACAACTAAGACCACACATTGCTCCTCGAAGCACGAAGCTGAAAACACCAGCCTGAAGATGACGAATGGGACTTCGTCGAAACGTTGCCAAGACACTTCCAATTTTACGCAGGAGAAAACCCGAATAACCAAAGACCTACATACAAACACCCGCGAAAACCTCAGAAAACATATATATATATATAATTATTAGATCACCTATTCATTTTTTTTTTTTTGGCGGGGGAAAAAGAGATATTAAGTAATTAAGGAGGGTCATTAACAGGCTTTCTTTTTCCAAAGTCTAAGATGATTAAACCTAGGTTAAACATACTGTTCCAGACCTCAGCTATGAAGTATCCTGCATTCTCTGCCACAGCTCTTGGTGAAAATGTACTAAATACAAACCACAGTGATCCTTCTCGGACGATTGGTAGCCATAATGCCACTGAACAAGTGACGGCCAAGACGAATTCTGGCGAAGGTATAACCAAAACTGCCTCGGCGTGGTCCCATCTTCCCACTGTAGAAGGACAGCGCAAGCTCTTGGGCTAAAGGGGTCGTGTTAAGAAGGATGCTAGAAAGACCAGCTGCATTATTTCTGTTGTAAAAATAGAAATATGCCTCAAACCACAAGGCAGGGAAGCCCATGCAGGTCAATTAAAAGTTGCTCAAGATCAAATGATGAAAACATTTCTAAAATATCTGTTTCTGGGCAAAAGAACTTCTTGGTGGATTGATTCAGAGTAACAAACCATAATAGGTTAATACAAATAATGATATCTGGGCTTAAAAGTGCTTAGTTGTGTTTCAAGGGGTATTTGTTCTAAACTAACTTCTCTCATGCAGAGAAGTGAGAAACTCAAGATTAGAGGAAATTAGGGAACAGAAGCTTTAAATTTCTTCTCCTCACAAAACAAAAACTTTGGGATTTTGAGGTTTGTGTGAACAGTCTGCATTTTTTTTTTTTTTTTTTACAATGAACTAGGCTAGTAACCATTCCCCAAAAAGGAAATACCGGTAATATACAGAAGTATACATCTTTTTTTGTTAATCCCATTTGTAAACAATAGAATTAGTTCTATCCTAGCAGAATCATGGCCCATGTGTTTTAATACTTGTCCAAATATACATGTGACCCAACACATGTATTTTTTAAAAAAATTTCTGATTCTTGTCTGTTCCTATGTTAATAAAGACTAAATATTTCAGACCTAGGAATCTTCTGGATCCTAAGATATAAAGATGGCAGTGAGCAATTTTTTTTAATAAAATGACCCAGACTAGCTGAAAAAGAAGACGACCCCAAGCCCTTTTAGCCATAACAATTCCTCTTTTTAGTGAAGTGGAAATTTTATGATGGCTTTCTCCAGATGTTACACGTTAAGAAGATCTCTAACTCGTATCATCAGCAATGGGTGGGTCCGTCTCATTGGTTTCTCTCGGTCCGTTGTAGGTTGCAATGATGCTTTTGTGGAAGTGGGTATGCCCAGGAGTCCTTCACACTCGGCAAATGCCAACGATCTTAAGCAGATGATGAGCACCTCTAAGCAATCCTGCACGAAGAGGCAGACGGTGGAATTGCTTCAAGGCACGAAAAATTCTCGTTTACAGTATGTGACGTTTATAAAGATAAGGTTGTGCAAAGCGGGGGAGAGGCTTAACGTGTTTTCTGTGGGGCTGTTGTTTTTAATGAAAACATCATTTGCAACCCATCCACGGAGGGAGCTTCTTGGACAACATGCACAGGGCAAGAGAGCCAGGATCTTTTACAATCTCCTAATGGTTTTTATTTGGTTGACGTGCTTTTCCCCCTCAAAATGGTGCTACTTATGCAGCAATAATATAATATTACCCCTTCACCGATCCTAACATTCCTAACATTGTAAATATGGTTTGCTAGGCTGTGAGAGTAATGCAGGCAACGATCTACATATTGAGATATCATCATTTTTGATTTATCATTAATCTCTTAGCCGTGGCTCTTTGGCTCCCTCGGAGAAAATTAGTGACATATTTCAGTCAGGCATTAAGTTATTTGTAAGCGTCTTTATTCCACTTTCCAAATTCCTTCTGAGGGTAGATCATGATTCATAGCGGAGAGTCTGTCTGGGGGAAAGTCAGATGTAAAAGACCTTACTGACTCTCAGGGAGAGTTACACAGAGAGTAACTGCATCCTCTTTTCCTCCTGGCTTATTTTAATGGCGAGGACCGTAGACAGCCAGTAAGATGATTCCCAGCTTTTCTTCATATCCTAAGGCAGGAAAATGAACCAAACAGGAGAGCAGAAGAGATTGCAGCCCTATTTCAAACAATAAGATCAAAATGAGTTTCAGAGAGTTTAGCTGTAACGGCAGCATTAACAGTCAATCAATGGAAAGAAGCATCAGCTTCTAGGTTGATAGGCCCTGAAGTTGCCCTTGAATTATAAGGAGATTCTGGAGAGAAGAGGGGAGAGTCCACAGAGAGTGTTTTTTGTCAACTTTGACAAAACTTTGGCTTTGCTGGCTGGGGAATTCTGGAAGCTGAAATCCACATCTCCTTAAGATGCTAAGGTTGATAGTGTTGGTTCCCAGACAGGCTTCCCAGTGCATGGGAATCAAGCTGTAGAGAGAAGACCACTGTAATCTTAATGCTTTTGGTATAGAAAAGAAAGAAAAGACACTTAAGAAGTATCCAAGAGGATGGGTAGCCCATCAAATGAAGGTATCCTTGATCTTTTAAACCAAGGTTAATGAAAGGAAAAGAAGAAGGCAAGGTGAGAGATGGAGGAAAGGAAAGGAAGATATAGGATAGGACAGGACAGGAAAAGAAAGGAAAGGAAAGGAAGATGTAGGATAGGACAAGACAGGACAGGAAAAGAAAGGAAAGGAAAGGAAGATGTAGGATAGGACAAGACAGGACAGGAAAGGAAAGGACAAGAAGATATAGGTTAGGATAAGATAGGATAGGATAGGATAGGATAGGATAGGATAGGATAGGACAGGAAAAGAAAGGAAAGGACAAGAAGATATAGGATAGGATTGGACAGGAAAGGAAAAGAAAGGAAAGGAAAGGACAGGATAGGAAAGGAAAGGAAAGGAAGATATAGGATAGGATTGGACAGGAAAGGAAAGGAAAGGAAAGGAAAGGAAGATATAGGATAGGACAGGACAGGAAAAGAAAGGAAAGGACAAGAAGATATAGGATAGGATAAGATAGGACAGGACAGGAAAGGAAAGGAAAGGAAAGGAAGATATAGGATAGGAAAGAAAGGGCAAGAAGATATAGGATAGGATAAGATAGGATAGGAAAGGAAAGGAAAGGAAGATATAGGAAAGGAAAGGAAAGGAAAGGAAAGGAAAGGAAAGGAAAGGAAAGGAAGATATAGGATAGGACAGGACAGGACAGGAAAGGAAAGGACAAGAAGATATAGGACAGGAAAGGAAAAGAAAAGAAAAGTACACCTGTCTTTTTTTTCAGCACGGGGGAGAGGTTGCTGTCGGATTCTGAGCTGAGTGCTTCAGAGACCACGATGGCTGATAAAAAGGCACCTGGAAGCGAACGGGCAGCCGAGCGGGCAGCTGCAGCCCAGCAGAATTCAGAAAGAGCACATCTGGGCCCCCAGTCGACGTATGTGGATATGCAGGTATTGACGCCTCCATGGATGGATTTCCACTCGGTGACGGGCTGTGTGTGGGAGTTGTGCCTGAGCTTTGCTGTTTTCTTGCAGCTGCACTAAAATGGAGTGAGGCTTTCTCTCTATAGATTGTTGGCTTTGCCTTAACAGTGTCGGTGTGATGTTCTTGGTGATTACTTCATTAGGCTGTTGTTTACTGCCTGATTGTTGGCCTGGTATCAATCCTGGTGTTAACCCCTGCTTATTTGGATGTTGACGGGGGAGAGTAAACCCCACTCTCTTCCAGCACTGATGATGTCACCCGGTTGGGTAATGAAATGTCTCCAAGAAAACCATCAAGCTCAGAGAGCGCTAGGGACCCTGCAATTCAGCCCTGAGCTACTTCTGTTGGTATAGCAGTCTCTGCATTGCACTAATACAGACATGTCAAACACAAGGCCCGGGGGCCAGATACGGCCTGCAAAGTAGTTTCATGTGGCCCGCAAAGCCATCCTGGAAACAGTGAGGGAATGGCCCCCGCTGCCTTGGCTCTGGCCCAGGCCAGCCGGGAGCCAATGTGCAATTTTGTGGTGGCCATCTATGCTGAAACGCATTCAGTCTTAGCTCCACAAAGCCGTCTAGAAACAGCGAGGAACCAGCCCCTGCTGTGTCGGCCCCACCCCCTGGGTGCATGCTGGGGAGGTGTCACCCTTTGTGAGGAATGAAGAAATGGACCATGCCTTGGCGCTTGCCCCAGTCCCCCCCCTTCTGCCAGAGACCCTCAGATCTGTCCCACTCCTGCCCAGGCCCTCACAGGCACCCTTGACATGAACAATGTAGAGCTGGCCACACCCACACAATAGGCCACACCCACTCCATCCATGCCCACCCAGTGGGCCGCACCCACCCTGGCCACACACACCCGCCCCCCCCTGAGGGCAACCGCAATGCTGATGCGGCCCTCAATGAAATTGAGTTTGACACCCCTGCACTAATACAACCACCACCAGAGATTTATGCGCTGCTCTTCTGGTGAGGTTGTCATCTGAACATTCCCAATACTTCGAAATGGATTGCTGATGCTCCCAAGTTTTCCCTCAGTGGACGTTGCAGCCCTAATTAGCTGGTTTTAAGTGGGATTTTTAAGTATTATCAAAGGTTCATTGCTGGGCGGTGCGAAGGGTTCCTCTGAGACAAACCAACGGATCCCGATCCAGATCTTTGTGGCTTGTGGAGCAGAGTGTCGGCGTGACCTTTAGCAAGGGCAGTGATTAAGCGGCCTTCTCTGGGTTTCATTTCTAGGCATTTGACTACGAACAGAAGAAGCTACTAGCAACCAAAGGTATGTGGAACAACGGTGACTTGCAGTGTGTATTTATTAGTAAGCAGAGTGATGAAGGAGGCTTTGCTTGCCCGCCCTCTGCCATCCATTCCCTTCTGCCCTCAGTTTGGGCTCTGCTCCAGTGGAAAAACTGTAGCTTAGACAACATGTTTTGCAATCCAACCCGTCTTTGTGTCTTTTCTTCCCCTTGAAAGGCTCCTGGAGTTACATTTTCTGAGCAAACAGGATCCTTTTCCTGACTACGTTTTTATGGGGCGGTGATCAGGACATTTGCCCTGCCTGTTACTGGATTATTCCTACCTCTATTTACCTTTTTCACTCTTCAAAACGCACACAGGTCTTAGGAGTTGCTTTTCTCTAATGTTAAGCAGTGTATATCCTTGTTTTATGCCCCTTGGGAAGGTTGAAAGCGTCATGCATCCTTGTTCACCATACAAAAAGACAAACAGGGTTTCAGGTCATCCGCGTTTCTTCCTTCAGTTGGCACATTTAAAGATACATGCACATCAGCACGTTGCGTGTACAGTAGTCGCCAAAATTGTGGAAACCTTTTGGGAAAAGTATATTTTTGAGGTTTGATGGCTAATACCACTTTTTTGGGGGGTGTAGTACCCTAAAATTATATACTAATCGAAAGATAATTTAATCAAGAATGTAATGCAACATAGTTTGTTCAATTATCTGTACTGTATTCTATGAAAAGTTATAGCCAAAGAACCAGAAAAAGGAAGCACAACTTGCTTAGGTTGATCTCAGGTAGCTTTCCTTCATCTGATTGTAGCCAATGAGCAGGAGTGTTTAGAGAGCCAATCAGGTGTCATCTTGCTTTGGCAATGAGCCAATCAGATCACAGTAGGATTCAGTTATTGATGTCCTGTATTGAAGCTGAGAGGAGGACATTGGTCAGTGTGCTATGTGATCGCTATCGTTGGTTGGGCTTTTTTGTGTTCTTTCATTTAGTGAGCTTGTAAAACATAATAAAATTAAAATAATGGTGCAAAGAATTGAATGGTTGCCAAGAAAGTGATGTAAAATAGTATTATTAATTGAACAAGGCTAACTTAACCAAAGGCGGCATTTCTACTGTACACTGTACACAATTTTGGCTACTACTGTATCTTTGACTTGTTAAAAGGAAAGAATCATGAAAGTCACAAAAGATGAGGTAAATGTGCAAGAAAGTGATGTGCCCTGGAGTGTGCCAATTATGCACTCCTTCAATACCCTCAGTGTGTAGGGGCCTCATAGAAGCCTCCGTGCTTCAAGAAGGGTGTGATGTACATCTCAGTTGTACAGATTTAATGGCCGTGTAACTCAGCTGGCCTACGTGGCATCACTGCAAGGATATCGTGACCCATTTGATGCCGTTCTGATGTCCTTGTGGCTTCCGACAGAAGCCTTAGGTACTGTCTTTAGGTTTTCTGCTTCTTTTCTGATGTGCAACCATCAAACATGACTAGCCTTCATTTTTGGTGATGTAGCAAGATACAGGTTTTAAGTATTTTGTTTTTGAAATGGGAGTGGGCTTGTTTTTGGCCTAAACACATGAATTCTGCTATTTTTGTAACACAAGAGATTCATCCTCTCTTGATCCTCTTCTCGGCTAGCAAAATCCTTCCATCAAATATTTGCTTGGTGGCTTTCTTCCATGCTTTTGAACTTGGCCTCCACTTCTCACTTGAAATTGAGATAAGAAATAAAACAACAGCAAAAGATCCTTGCCTTACTTTCCTTTTATCTATGCAGCTGCTCCATCTTGCTACATTCTATGTTTGAAAAGCTTTACCTTCTTTTTTATTTATTTTTTTTAAAAAAAGATTTTTTCTGAAGATCTCAGATTTCTTTGTTCTGTCTCCTGAAACTTCAGAATGACTCTTCTGGCTTTATACAAATATTGGTCTGTATTCTCCTCCAAGCCAATCTTAATGTAATTTATCAGAATTAATTTACTTTGTGTGAGTAAATAGGTACGCATCGTGTACACGTGTAGAGATATGTAAATAGACTCAAAAACCAATCACATATAATAATAATAATAATAACAACAACAACAACAACAATAATAAAGTTGGAAGGGACCTTGGAGGTCATCTAGTCCAACCCCCTACTCAGGTAGGAAACCCTATACCAGTGATGGAGAACCTTTTAGAGACCGAGTGCCCAAACTGCAACCCAAAACCCACTTATGTATCATCGGGTGCCGGGTAGGTGTGGTCCATTGGGTGGGCGTGGCCCATTGGGTGGGCGTGGCTGCGGTGGTAACGGCTGACTGGGTGGGACTAAAAAGTTCAATCAATCAATTCCAACTTTGCGAGATCTTTTTTTTTTCCCACGAGAAATTGATTGATTGAATCTTTTTTTTTTTTTTTGCACATGGCGGCGGAGGCCTAAAGTGAAAAGGTTTTATAAAACCCAGCTGAAGGCCTAGGACTGGGGCTATGGCGCACGTGCCCACAGAGAGGGCTCTTCATGCCACCTGGTGGCACGCGTGCCATAGGTTCACCACCATGGTCCTATACCATTTCGGACAAATGGCTGTCCAGTCTCTTCTTAAAAACTCCCAGTGTTGGAGCATTCACCGCTTCTGGAAGCAGGTTGTTCCACTGGTTAATTGTTCTGTCGGGAAGTTTCTCCTTAGTTCTAGGTTGCTTCTCTCCTTGATTAGTTTCCATCTGTTGCTTCTTGTCCTGCCTTCAGGCGCCTTGGAGAATAGCTTGACTCCCTCTTCTTTGGGGCAGCCCCTGAGATACTGGAACAGTGCTATCATGTCCCCCCTCGTCCTTCTCTTTGTTAAACTAGATATACCCATCTTTTCTTGCTGCATGCTCAGAAATATAAACTGAAATATGAAGTGGCCCTAGCAAGTTTAAAATATTTGGAAAATGGTAAAAGCAGAGAGTGGAAGATATTCTGGAACTAATCATAAAGAATTTTGCTTGCTTTAAACAAAAAACAAAAAAAACCCACTGATGCTTATAAATATGTTTTCTCCCCCTTAAAGCTATGCTAAGGAAGCCTGTTGTTACGGAGGTGAGAACACCCACAAACACCTGGAGTGGGCTGGGCTTCTCCAAATCAATGCCGGCCGAAACCATTAAGGAACTGAGAAGGGCAAACCATGTAGCCTACAAGCCATCTATGTCGACAACTTATGAGGTATGCACAAGTTCAGTGTGTGCTTAGCATGAAAAAGAAGAAATTGGAGCTTTTGGTCTGAACTTGAGGCAGGTTGTGTCTGAGGTTTGCTGCTGTGACTTCCATGGTCTCTCTGACAAAGGTCTGTTTGTCATGACCCCTCCAGGCCTCCGTGAAACTGTGGATTGTGTTAACGTTTTTTTGTGTGTGTGTGCATGCAGGAGGCAGTCTTAATTCATTGTACATTGTTTATTCCATAAATACTTCAGTGTCGTGTTGTCTTCCAGCCATTTTTCTCTTTCTCCTTAGGAGTTCATTAGAGGGGACACACACACATACACACACACAAACACACACAAAAACAAAAGTATCTCAGACTGTATCTGAGTCACTTGGCTCTGAGTCCCAGGATTAAACCACAGCCTGAGTTCTCTGCTCTGTAAGCTATTTTTTTTCAGAGACTCAGGCATCTGTTGTTTTTCCTTGGAACATGTGGGGAAAATAACATTAAAAAACAAAAAAACAAAACAATCTATTGCTTTGTTTTTTTCCTGCTTGCATTGGGTTGTTTTCAGAATGTCTGCTAGTCTTAGAAACACTGGTTTTAAAAAAAGGATTAGTTTGAATTGGGATAACCTAGTACAGTGATGGTGAACATTTAGAGACCGAGTGCCCAAACCGCAACCCAAAACCCATTTATTTATCGCAAAGTGCCAGGGCTGCATCAGCATTGTGATGCCCTCAAGGGGGGGGCAGGGAGGTGCCTCTGAGTGCTGCCTCTGGCATACAAAAAATGGGGGTGCAAAAATGGGCCACCGTGCTGCAAGGTGCAAAAATGTCCGCCGCCGCACTGCGGGGTGCAGATACAAGGTGCTGCATCATGCAAGAATGGGGCATGGCTAGTGAGTATCATGCAGGCACTAGCCCCGCCCCATTTGCAGTGCAAAATGCTTCCTCCTCCCTTTTCTTCCAGTCCAACAATGGTTGGTGAGCTGTGCTCTATCACCTGTACTTGAGCTTATTAGTTGGCCGCTTCGCCTCCTTTTACTGGGTGGGACTCCTGCTCCGGGCGGCTGATGGACCTGCTGCTGCATGCTAACAGAGAGGGTTCTTTTTTTATTTTTTTTTTCCAAACTCTCCTCCATACATATACCTTGATATTTATCAGATGTTAACATACATTCTTTTTACATTCATATATAAGATACTTTTAATAAAATGAAAAAAATACATACACATGACTTTTGGTGCTGCTCGCCCATTTCCCCTTTCACTGTATCCACACTCCTTCTTTTCTACCTTCTTTCTCCCTTTCTTCTCTTCCCTACTTCCCTCTTCTTCCTCTCCTCTTCTCTTCCCTTCACCACTCCCCTCCCCTTTCTCCCCACTTCTCCTCTTCTCCAACCTTCCTACTTCCTTCTCCCCTCCTTTACTCTTTTCTCTCTCCTCTCCTTTCTTCCCTCTCATCCTCCTCAGATACAATTCAGGGGTAATGTCCGAGCAACTCCTCTCTCCAAATTTCCCTATCTGTATTATATACAATAAGATTAATTTTCTCTTACATTAATGCTTCTATTTATCTAACCTTCTCGGTATATACTTCTATAAATATTTATACAACCTCCAGTTATTCAATACTGTGTCACCTGGTCTTCCTCCTTATCTGCTCCTTCTTCCATCTAAACGGAGGGGGTTCTGAGTGCCACCTCTGGCATGCATACCATAAGTTCGCCACCACAGACCTAGTAGGACACAGTGTGCCCCAAATGACAAAGTTAAAATTAATCAAACAAAAACACTGTTGCTTTGATAATGCTGAGCGTTGCCAACCATTCTTTATTTGTGTATGCCTTTTCCTAAAATACTTAAGACTTCTCCGACAAGCATATGTTTTTTTAACAAAATATTGCTCATTCATTTAAGCTAATGGGTGGCACCATTGGTATCATGCCTTTGAGTAAGCCAAGTTGACGGTATGTTCACCTGTCCTGGTCACACCTCTTCCTGCTGACTTCCTTGCAGGCTTCTTCCATGTCCCTCTCCCGATCCAACAGCCGGGAACACCTGGGGAGCGGGAGCGATTCCGACAACTGGAGAGATCACAATGGCATTAGTTCAACTGCTCCGGGAGACTTTGTTTCTTCCATCGGAAGCCCTAAACGGAAACAGAAATCAAGTAAGGATTTACCCTGTTGGTTAGATAAGGGCTTTTCAACCAGTGTTATGGGTACCACCTGTGGTACATTTGGTATGCGACCATCCTAGAAAAGTGGTAGTGGGGGAGGGGAATGAGCTGAACCAGTGGCAGCACCGCACAAGCCTCAGCGAGAGATGGCTGGAGCTGCAGGGCTGTCAGGGCTCAGCGGAAGCGCCAGGATCAGTGCCGCTTTCCAGCTGATTGGCGCTTCGGGGCTGTCAGGGCTCAGTGAAAGCACCAGGATCAGCGCCAGGCTCCAGATGGAGCTCAGGGCTGATCCTGGTGCTTCTGCTGAGCCCTGAAGAAGCACCAATCAGCTGGAAAGCAGCACTGATCCTGGTGCTTCTGCTGAGCCCAGAAGAAGCGTTGATCAGCTGGAATGTTGCAGCATCTCCAGGGTCTTGTGATTTACATTCAGATGCTTGGCAACTGATTCATATTTATGACAGTCACAGTGTCCCAGGGTCATGTGAAGTGACCAAAATCTGCTGCAACCACCCAGCGGATGGGGGAATAAAAATCAAACACCCCCTCACCCCACCCCTGCTGCCAATCCTCAACAGAAATGCTCACAACAATGAAAACCTCAGACAGAAGGAAGAGCGCTGCCGGGCGGGCAGGCAGGTGTCTTGCTCGGCTATGGCTTGGGGGGGGGGGCTTTTTTCAGTGCCATTGTAACTTCGAACAGTCACTAAGTGAACTGTTGTAAGTCGAGGACTACTTGTAGTTTCTCACTTTTTTTCTTTTTTTTTTTCTTTTTTTGGTCATCAAGTTTTTGACACCTTGCTAGGCGGCTGGTGATACTCAGATATTGCCATATCCTAAAAGTGGTACAATGGGTGAAAAGGTTGAAAAGCCCTGAGTTAGGTCAGAGTTCTCACGAAGAGCTAATGACTTGAATAAAAGTTAGCTTCAGCTTGGCTTAGGCAAACCAAGCTCCGTTAGTTTGCATCAAGCTATACTTTTAAATGATAGGCTCAAAGGAGAGAGCTACATCCTGTTAGAAATATTAGAACATTTATGGCAATAATGCCTCCGTGTCACATTTCTTCCCTCTGTTATGACTTTGCTGCTTCTTCTTCTCCACGTCCAAATGTCATCATATAGTTTTATTCTCTCAGGCCACATCACAAGAGATAGAGTTGGCCAGGGTGCCCCAAAGCAGCGTCCCCCACTTTTGAGATGGCATGTAATTTTTGCCTTACTCCGACCAACCCTTGTGTTCTATTTCCATGAAAACAAAGATGTTCATCCTGTTGACCCATGACTGTTGGGCTAGGTTTGCCACCAACCATATGGTGAAGTTCACAGATGATACAACAGTAGTGGGCCTTATTCAGGATGACAAGGTGGAAGCTTACCACAAGGAGGTTGAGGGGTTGGTGAACTGGTGTAAGGAAAACATCCTAGTTTTAAATACCGGAAAAACCAAAGAGATCATTGTCGATTTCAGAAAAGGCAGGCACAGCCACACACCTCTATGCATCAATGATTCACCTGTGGAGCTGGTTACCAGCATCAAACTCCTGGGTGTGCAGCTAACGAGTAGACTGGCTTGGTCGCTCAACAGTGAGAAACTGGTGAAGTGGCCACAGCAGTGCCTGCATTTTCTGCATCGCATGAGAAAAGCACACCTTCCTTCCCCTGTCCTGACCACTTTCTACAGGGGGACAATCGAGAGCATCCTGTCATACAGCATCGCAGTCTGGTTTGGAAGCATCCCTGCTTCAGATAGGAAGGCGGTGCAGAGAGTGGTGAGGACAGCCAAAAAGATCATTGGCAGCTCCCTCCCTCCCATCCAGGACATAGCACAGAAGCGTTGCTTGAGCAGGGTCCATAAGATCATCTGGGACTCTACACATCCTCTTCACGACCTGTTTTCCTTGTTCCCTTCTGGGAGGAGGGGGCTTCCTGGTTTCCGAAGCAGAACATCCAGATTCAGCCAGAGTTTCATTCCATACAGCATTAACCTTGCGAACTCTCAAGCTTCCTCCTTCCGTTATATATTCAAGATGGACAGTATTTAATATTTATTTGCTACGTATATGTAGGGAGTGGGTCTATACATATGTTTATAGTATGTTTAGGTGTGTGTCATGTATGTGTTTTACTTTGAGAGCGGGCAACTCAATTTCATTTTTGATGTGTGCTGTTGTGCCCACAGTAAAACAAAATGACAATAAAGGTTATCTTATCTTATCTCTTATCTAAAACCTTGATAATTCAACAGCAGGTAGATTTGGTACTTCTTGGCAGCTTGCAAGCACTGGAAAGTAAGCAGGTGAACAGGTTCCTCAGCCTAAAGCAAACCCAACCTAACCAGAAGCTTATTTTCTCTTGAACGTCTAGGTGAGCATTATCTCAGCAGTAGCAACTACATGGATTGCATCTCCTCCCTGATAGGAAGCAACGGCTGTAACCTGAACAGTCTGTTTAAGGGATCTGACCTACCTGAGTTATTCAGCAAACTGGGCCTGGGTAAATACACAGACATATTTCAGCAACAAGAGGTCAGTGTTCGCGAAAGGCTTGATGGTGGTGGTTGATTGTAGACTATTTTGATTGCTTTGCAAATGAAATCATTCCCATCTGTTGATTATCAATAATAATAATAAAGCTGGAAGGGACCTTGGAGGTCATCTAGTCCAACCCCCTGCTCAGGCAGGAAACCCTATACCATTTCGGACCAATGGCCGTCCAGTTTCTTCTTAAAAACTTCCAGTGTTGGAGCATTCACCGCTTCTGGAGGCAAGTTGTTCCACTGATTAACTGCTCTAACGGTCAGGAAGTTCCTCCTTAGTTCTAGGTTGCTTCTCTCCTTGGTTAGTTTCCATCCGTTGCTTCTTGTCCTGCCTTCAGACGCTTTGGAGAATAGCTTGACTCCCTCTTCTTTGGGGCAGCCCCTGAGATACTGGAACACTGCTATCATTGTTCATCAAGTCCACAGATTCATTCCTTGGCTGTAGGAATAGCTACCGGTAGCTTCAGGCCTTGCTGTTTTTGAAGTGCTGTGTTCAGAGACCCAATTCTGCATTCTCAAACCAATTTCCATTGTTGGTAATCATACCTAAGAACTTGCTCTCTGGAAGGAATAGGAGTCTGATTTGCAGCACGGGTGTTATCAGCAAGCCCATAACTCACTACTTGGGAAATTCAGCAGGAAGGCAGGTGATCCCGATGGTCTGAAGACCACCCACCCAGAGTTACCATGTGATAAGACGGGCAGTCAATAAATTTGATAAATAAATAAAAGCAAATACATAAGGCTGGTGGCCGTCAAAAATGATCAGAATGGGATACCTCGATGGGACTGCAGAAAAAGTAGGGAATTTCCTGTGAACCTTCACACGGTGTGTTAATTCGTTCAGTTGTATAGATGCAAAGTTGTGTTCGCTGATAGATAGTTGAAACATTATATGCATATGTAAACATACATGCAGACATGTGTCACAAGTGTGTGTTTATGTATACTGATCCTGGCTTCTTTGTCGCTGCAGTTGTATCAGCACACAAACGCATACACCAGAATAAAAATTAATATGACTTGAATTGATAATTGTTCAGTAAAATTAGTGAAGTCTTCTTCAATCTATTGAAAACATAGAGATCAAATCTGAATAAAGCATTCTTTAAATAGAAAACGTCTTCCAAAAATTTATTATATGTTTTTCATCTGATGCTGGTTTCCTTGACTTTTCAATATCGCTGTTTCCAAGAGAGATGCAATTATCTAATATTTTGCAATCCCAATATAGCAATCAAATTAATTTTCTGTGTACTGTAGTTCATCAGCCTTGGGAAATACAGACAATCAACCTGTGGGCATAAATTACCAGTAATTGCTCAGTAATTTTAAAATTTGTTCAGAAACTGCCACGAATAGCTAAAAGGGATTGTCTTTCAGAAAACAATGCATGCTAATTCACTGGCAACAATTCAGACAAGATCTAGATATTTCCAATTTATATAAACTAATTTTAGAACAGAATAACAACTTTTGAATTGTTCTGGCAGCCCATTTTTTTGTGACTCGCCAAACAAAGATTGGAAGGAATTCTGGGCTATGAAGAATGCCAAGGTGATTCATCTGGTTTAGCTCCTAAACCCTCTTCTAGTATTTATTTAGTCTGTCAAAATAATATGTTGCACTTGGTATAAAAATGTTGCTCTTTTGATTTTAACATGCTCTGGATGTTGTTAATAGTCGTAATTGCCAGGAACTGAAATAACGGTTTTTGCCTCTTTCCTTTGTAACCAAGTTGCGCACAAAATGTTTTCAGCAGGATGTTCTCCCACAAAAGCCCTCCGCCCTCTCAGAGTGGAAGAGCATCTTAGAGTGTGCTGTTGTTGTGTTTTCTCCTAGATTGATCTCCAGACATTCCTCACTCTAACAGATCAAGATCTGAAAGAGCTTGGAATTACCACTTTTGGTGCACGAAGGAAAATGCTGCTGGCAATCTCAGGTAAAGAAAAAGTACTACCTTGTGCAGTTTATAAGAATTCTTTTTGTTCCCTTGACGGAGTTATTCTGATACACAGAAGGCGGAATGTCTCTTTTCAGAAACTCAGGGTACCCCTGTGTATAGTAATAGCCTTGTCCATCCTTATCCTGCCAGCTTTAATCCCTCAGTTCTCATAAATCCACTCGTATATCTCTTCAATGGGAGATCCGTTGATTTCCTCCGGAGTGAGTTAGGAATTCTGCTAGGTCTCACCTACCATAAGATTGTAACAGCTTCCTAATGTTTGGTTTCTACCTTGATGTTAACATCCGTAATGGTTTATAGTCAGGGACATGCAAAACCTAATAAGGGAGCCCATCTCTTTATACAGTACTGGCCAAAATTGTGGAAACCTTTTGGGAAAAGTATTTTTGAGGTTTGATGGACAATAACACCACTTTTGGGGGGGAGTAGTACCCTAAAATTATATATCAATGGAAAGATAATTTAATCAAGAATGTAAGGCAACATAGTTTGTTCGACTATCTGTACTGTATTCTATGAAAAGTTACAGCCAAATAACCAGAAAAAGGAAGCACAACTTGCTTAGGTAGATCTCAGGTAGCTTTCCTTCACCTGATGGTAGCCAATGAGCATGAGTGTTTAGAGAGCCAATCGGGTGTCATCTTGTTTTGGCAATGAGCCAATCAGATCACAGTAGGATTCAGTTATTGATGTCCTGTATTGCTGAGAGGAGGACATTGGTCAGTGTGTTATGTGATGGCTATCAAGTCGGTTGGGGGTTTTTTTGTGTGTTCTTTCATTTAGTGAACTTGTAAAACATAATAAAATTAAAGTCATGGTGCAAAGAGTTGACTGGTCGCCCAGAAAGCGATGTAAAATAGTATTATTAAGTGAACAAGGCTACAGTTATAAAGGAATTAGAAGAAAAATGGGTGGAAACTTAGCCGAGGTGGCACAGCAGTTAGAGTGCAGTACTGCAGGCCACTTTAGCTGACTGTGTTCAGCAGGTCAGCGGTTCAAATCTCACCGGCTCAAGGTTGACTCAGCCTTCCATCCTTCCAGAGTAGGTAAAATGAGGACCCAGATTGTTGGGGGCAATGTAAATATATATATACATTGCTTACTGGTGTACACCGCTTAGAGAGTGCTTGCACTTAAAGCGGTATATAAGTCTCATAAATAAATAAACAAACAAACAAACAAACAAACCAAAGGTGGCATTTCTACTGTACACTTTTCCCAAAAGGTTTCCACAACATCACTTGGTCTCTTGTGCCTCTGAGTAGGATTGCTCTCCTACGTTTACATAATGTTTACACTTTTCCCAAAAGGTTTTCACAATTTTGGCCACTACTGTAGGTTTCCCTTGAAGAGAGCCAGGTATATCTCATGTGCTGGTGGGCTGCTGGAATCCAGCAGCTTGATGCCTCTTTCATGTTCAACCTGTGGTTAACCAAAACAATTGTCTCAATAGATCTGTGACAGGTCTATTGCCTTTTCTGACCCAAATCCACTCTAAATCATTTTATATCTTGTGGGGGTATTGCGGTAAAATCTCCAGCTTGAGAGGAGAGAAGTGTAAAGAAGTGGCCAGCGTGAGTGACTAGCAATAAAGTTCCTGCTTGAGACTATTCATGAGTGGTTCTGGTTAAGAACCATGGAGAATCGGCTGGAGGAGCCGTAGTGGCACAGTGGCTGGAGTGTAATATTGCAGGTTATCTCTGCCCACTGCCAGGAGTTCGATCCTGACCGGTTCAAGATTGACCCAGCCTTCCATCCTTCCGAGGTCAGCAAAACGAGGACCCAGATTGTTGGGGGCGATATGCTGATATTGTAAACCACTCATAGATTTATATATCACTTCATAAAAGCATTATGAAGTGATATATAAATCTAAGCGCTGTTGCTATTGCTATTGCTTGCACCTGACAGGTACATATTGCATTTGATTGGACTGGACTGTTTTGTTGTTAGTTGCAAAGTCATGTCCGACCCATCGCGACCCCATGGACAACATTCCTCCAGGCCTTCCTATGCTCTACCATCTTCTGGAGTCCATTTAAGCTCACGCCTGGCATTTGCTGTCCAGGTTTTGAAGTTAAGCTTCTCTTCTCTTCTCTTCTCTTCTCTTCTCTCCCCTTCCACCCACCCACCCCCCAGAATTGAACAAAAACCGAAGAAAACTCTTTGACCCCTCCAATGTCCGAGCCTCGTTTCTGGAAGGCGGCGCAAGTGGACGGTTGCCCCACCAGTACCATTCGGACATTGCCAGCGTGAGCGGCCGTTGGTAGCAGGAATGCGAGGCCTTCACGGTTGACTGCACAAACTCCATGGACATGGCAATCCTGTGGACCGTCACCACTGCACACCACCCTCTGCACTTGGGAGTTTAGGTATCAAGGACCAAAAGTCTTCTTTTTTTTTTTTTTTTGCACAACTTCCCGTGTCGAAAGAGAGAAAGAACACTTATCTGTCTTTCCACGTGCCAAATGTGGATTATGCCTTTGCTCTTGTAGATTGGACAGAATTTGCAATAATAATGTTGGGGGGGGTGGGTGGAGGGTGGGCGGAGTGGGTGTTTAGTATTTTATGACTTATAATGACTATATTGTATGCACTGAATGGATTTTTTTTTTTACTTTTTTGAATGGAGAGTGATGGGCAGGGGTGCCAGAGCGGGGGAGGGAGGGGTCATTGCTTATGGTTTTTATCGAGGAAATTTCTGGTACTGCTTAATAATTAATAGAGGTCTTTCTGCACTTTACGTGTTTGGATTGCTTTTCCCGTGGACATTTTTAATTAACTTTCCTCTTAATTTCCACGGGAAAAAAAGATTACAGTCGTGGCGCTAACCGAGGTTTGCCAGGGGCATTCCCATTCCAGGTGAAAAGGCTCCCCTCCCCATAAAAATGGTACTAGCGAGTTTAAATGTAGAGGACGATGGGTTGTTGTTGTTTTTAGACAACTGTACAGTATGCCACAATCAGATCTATGAAGAGGAGTCTCCAACCTCTTGAGAAATATTTGCAATGGAGTTTGCATACTGCCAACCAAGCAGTGAAAGACCAAAAGCAGAGTTTGTTGCCCTCACTAATCCTAGTTAGCTGCTGCCTTCAATGCTAAACCTGATTTTAATGATTATCTCAAAGCAAGGACTATTTTTTAGTATAAACTGCCACTAAAGGACACTTTATTTATAGCAAACGTCTTATTTTTTAGAACTTGTACACTTAGAGCGCGTAAGAAATTAAAACTGATCTATTAAAGAGTTTATGATAGAGACTGGGATGCAGATCCCGAAGCGGATCTCCAGGCTCTCCTTCGTTCACTTGACAGAGCATAAATTTCATTTGACAAGACAGCACTCTGGGGGTCTATTCCCTAAGGGACGTTGCTGACGTGATTCTCCAGGCACCCATTTAAGAGCTTGTCAGGTTGGGACATCCTTGATTAAAGTCCACGATTGTCTGCCATGAAGGTTTAGAGTTGGGCTACTTCCAAAACTCTGCATTTGAGCAAAGAGTTTGTGTGATATCTTGGTAGGGCAGACAGTCGTGTTCTCATCCTGTAAAAGGTCTAGTAATCCAGTTATATTTGTCTCTGTCAAGTGACTTGGTATAATTTTATGAAGGATGAAACGAAGTGCCTCTCAGTGATAACAAAATGAAGTTTCTGAAACGCGAGTTTATCGATAGAAGAAAAACAACATTCCCATTGCATATATTGTGAATTACTTGTACTGTAATTTTTTCTTTTTTTTATTTATGTACAATGTACAAACCCTCTAGGGTGGAGGCAAACCACTCTTCAGAAAGGCATTAACAATTTACCATGGTGGTTTTTATATGTATAGATATGCAACAGGGGCGAGGAAGAATTTTGACACTTTCTGTAGATAATATTTCATTTCCGTCATGAAGGAGACACCAACACAAAGGGAGGATTAAGAAAGGTGAGAGCTTAGTTAAAGTTAGGAGACATATACATCAAAATTCATTTTAATCACAACCTATGACATCTCAACAGCCTCTCACTCCTGCTGAAATAGCTGCTGATATTTCTCTGATTTGGGGGGTAAAAAACCAGGGTGAGATGACCACAGCGAGTGCTTTTTCTCAATCTGGAGTTGTGCATTATTCAGGAAACCATATATATATGTGTGTATATATATACATATATATGTGTGTAGGTCTTTGGTTATTTGGGTTTTCTCCCGCGTCAAATTGGAAGTGTCTTGGCGACGTTTCGATGAAGTCTCATTCGTCATCTTCAGGCTGGTGTTTTCGGCTTCGTGCTTCTAGGACGTGGCTGGTGTTCTCGAACCTGACGTGGCTGGTGTCCTCGAAGCACGAAGCTGAAAACACCACCCTGAAGATGACGAATGGGACTTCGTCGAAACGTTGCCAAGACACTTCCAATTTTACGCAGGAGAAAACCCGAATAACCAAAGACCTACATATATATATTTCTTTTGAAACATAGCCTGTCCGTCAATTGGTACAAAATCAGAGGCCCTGATATTTTCAAAGAACACTACTTGTTTTATCATGGGTGCTGCCTTCGGTGGGAGACCCCGCATTGTGTTGCGAAGCACAGCCCTTGCGTTAGAAGTTCAGGACCTCAGGAGGTGAAGCCTGTCACCCATGTGGAAAACTTAACTTTCTTTAATCTGTGCCAGAGTGATTCAGCTGAGTCTTTGGGTTTACATTGAGACCCAACCCACAATGTATCCCACTGGAGATTTTTTTTTTCTCTCGTGGACTTTGTGTCATGCTATTTTGTCCCCCCTCCCCAGTTTGAACTCAAATGACCGAATGCTTTGACAGTGTTACCCTTGGAAGACACACTTAAGCTGCAGTGGTCTATACTGAAGCGAAGAATGTCTGAGATATAAAAGTAACAAGAAACTCACCCTTTCACAGAGATACCCCCCCATCCCCACCCCCCCACCCACCCACATGCCACACTGGAAAAGCAAAACTTTATTAATCATTTGGATTCCACGAGAGAGGGAAAAAATTGGCAACGCAACATTCCGTATTGTCAGTATTGTATTAATGCACAAAGAATACCGAAGCATTCGTTTTAAAATGTTGTGCCTTTACAGCGACCAGTTATCTGTAAATATAGAGCAGATACAGATTGTATTTGGGGAGGGATCCTTTTTAGTGATTTTTTTTAAAAAGGTAAATAAATAAATAAACTATGGAATTAAACATTTACAAATGGAGAATTTCAAACTAATCAAATGTTACATGAAAGAATAAATTTATATAACCCTTGTTACGTTGCTGGTTAAATGAAGTCTGGTTTTATTTCTAAACGGTTACTAACTCGATGCTCCCTCTTTCCTTTCTTCTCTGGGTGTCAAATCTGAGTCTCCTCTTTAACGTGGTTTGAGTACTATAAATTAAGGTGACCTCTTTGCTCACGTTAGTTGGGGAGACGATGCTGGCAGTGACATATGCCTCCAATTAGTTGTGGTGGAATTGAGACATGGACTAAATGGATGACGGTATTGAAGCTTCGACTCCATTAAGCTACGCAGTTGCCCCTTACACTGTGCTGCTATCTATAGCGCAAAGATCTTGAGAAGGGGAAAACTAGATCTCCATTTTCCCTTTCCCAGGAATTGGAAGTTAAGACCGACGTGCTTGTAGGGCCTATGACAGAAAGTTGGAATATTAATAAAAAATAATGAACAGACGATCTGGATCAGAGTTAGAGAAAGATAATTCAGAAGTCAAAGGTTTGTTAAAAGCTAAAACTTAAACGTCAATTTGAAGTTCTTTTTAAAGATTGCCAGTTGATTTATTTTCGTCAATGTCACCAATGACTTTTGAGGCCCTGTCAGGCAGTGACGTCACTCCCGGTAACATTTAAAATGTGAAAAACAAGCAGCACGAAAGTGCAAAAATCAAATAAGCGGGCCAAGAATGAGTTTCTGCCGTGAAGAAGGGACGCTGTGTGATAAGCAGACACTGAAAGAAAAGATTATCCAACTTGGAACGATGGTTTTCGAACAGTTGCTCGAAGGAGGACTGTTGGGAGTTGAATCCGGAGAAAGAAGGCCTGGCTGGATCTCCCCCAGAATGCCAAAAGACATTGGGGCAAAACCTGGGTCATTGATGCTGAAAAGAAAGCCGGGGGGGGGCTGACTTTGGGGCAGAGACAAAAAAAAAAAAAAATTCAGTGGGGCCAGATCAATTTAGTTTTACTGGAAATCACTTAAGATCACGTCCCATGCATTTAATAAAAAAAATAAATCCCTTTTCTACAACAATTATTGTTTGATGGTGCTCTGTGGTGGGACACAACCTAAGGCTTGAGGCACCTCAAGTGGCCTCTTTTGCTTTCCAGTGTGAGCCTTATACATGCGGAATTCAAAATACATTTGAGCTTTCCTTCCTTCCTTCCTTCCTTCCTTCCTTCCTCTCCTGCTCTTTCCTTCCTCCTTTCTTCCTTCCTTCCATCCTCCATTTCCTTTCTCTTTCTTCTTTCCTTCCTTCCTTCCATCTCCTCCTGCTCCTTCCTCCTTCCTTCCTTCCATCCTTCCTTCCTCCATTTCCTTTCTCTTTCCTTCTTTCCTTCCTCCTTCCTTCCTTCCATCCTTCCTTCCTCCATTTCCTTTCTCTTTCCTTCTTTCCTTCCTCCTTCCTTCCTTTCATCCTTCTCCCTCCATTTCCTTTCTCTTTCCTTCTTTCCTTCCTCCTTCCTTCCTTTCATCCTTCTATCCTCCCTCCATTTCCTTTCTCTTTCCTTCTTTCCTTTCTTCCTTCCATCTTCTGCTCCTTCCTCCTTCCATCCTTCCTCCCTCCATTTCCTTTCTCTTTCCTTCCTTCCTTCCTTCCTCTTTTCTTCCTTCTATCCTGCTATCCTCCCTTCCTCCATTTCCTTTCTCTTTCCTTCTTTCCTTCCTTCCTTCCTTCCTTCCATCCTCCCTCCCTCCATTTCCTTTCTCTTTCCTTCTTTCCTTCCTTCCTCCTTCCTTCCATCCTTCTATCCTCCCTCCATTTCCTTTCTCTTTCCTTCTTTCCTTCTTCCTTCCTCCTTCCTTCCTTTCATCCTTCTATCCTCCCTCCATTTCCTTTCTCTTTCCTTCTTTCCTTCCTTCCATCCTCTCCTGCTCCTTCCTTCCTCCTTTCTTCCTTCCTTCCTCCCTCCTTCCTTCCATCCTCCCTCCATTTCCTTTCTCTTTCCTTCTTTCCTTCCTTCCATCCTCTCCCGCTCCTTCCTTCCTCCTTTCTTCCTTCTATCCTCCCTCCATTTCCTTCCTTCCTTCCTTCCTTCCTTCCTTCCTTCCTTCCTTCCTTCCTTCCTTCTCCTACTCTTTCAGAGAAATAAGGATGGAGCTTGATTTTTCTGAGAAGGTGAACCAACCAGCATCTGGAGATGCTTTACACAAGGGGCACTGGCCTCATTACCAAGGAGATTATCTGCCATC